GTTAGAACAGCTTTTCCCACAGCACGGTTATAAAAGTTCACCTGTTTCTTCGAGAACTTGGTTTCGTTTTTTATATTTTGATTCCCCAGTGCCTTTAGTTTTTTCCCTAGTGTAAGAGATAAGTTTTCAACGTTATCTCTTTTTTCCCCAGTTGCTGGTAAGTTGTCCTAACTCCAATTATTTATTAAGTCTACCTTTTCCGCTGAGTTCGAGACACCTTTGCCAGATGCCGGGTGTACATGTCGGTAGTTAAAGGGTGGCCTGGGTTGGGATCTTCGATCCTGGCAGGTGTTGCAGATGGTAGATTCGCAGAGTCCTGTGAACCACGGTTCCAGAATTTTTTTGCTTAGAACCTATTGGTCTCACAATATGTGTCGAAGACCGCAAAGGGCTTTTATGTATGCGGGGAGATCTGTAGATATTTAGATGTTTATCACACTAGAATTTGAGACAGACAGATTTTTAAGATGTTAATTCATTTAGGAAAAGTAACCGTGCTTCTCAAACAAGATCATTCGGGAGAGGGTGGCACTGTTTTCCGTTTCCGCAAGTACCGCAGCGTCTGGCTTGCTGCCGGCCAGCCGGCCTCGCCCATGTGCCCCGCGGCTGGGCTGCTCCGAGACGCCGCGCAGTGCGAGTCCGGGCGAACATCTGGCCCACACAGGGGCGCGGTCGGAAGAGAGAAGCGCGTGAATGTTCTTTGCTGCTGCACCAGAACGCGACAAGCGCGGTCTCCTGAGGGGCCACCGCACCGTGGCCTCTGCCGCCGCATCAGAAAGAGCGCTCGGTTCTCTTAGTTCGAATTCTTCAGCATGTGTTGCACGTGCGGTGATCTTTGTCCGCGTGCGATTGTGTGACGTCGCGGTGCGCCGAGTCGTGCACCTCTCCCCAATGCCGACATACTGCGTGCTACGAAATCAGGAAGCCCTGCTTTCCTTCTAGACGGGGCCGCCTCAGTCCGCACAGGCGACATGCGCTGCCCGTTTCGTCACGGGTGCCGGAAAGGTTTGTCCTCGTGGGCGGAGACTGAATAAGGGCTGTGAGGGTTAGCTCTTCACTCGTCAGAAACTCTTAGTGAAAGTAGCATTTTTTTTTTTTACTGTAAGTGTGTGGTGAAGATTATTGTGACCGTTGGCACCGTTTGATGTCACAGCTTTGAGCGAGATGCCAGCACTTCTGCCACCCTCGCATTTGCACCATCAGTGCAGGAAAGGGTGACAGATGTCTTCTGTCATGTAACTGGTTTGACCTTGTGGACTCTGGAGGGTCACAGCATGATGGGAACCTCGCTGACATCAGCCGCGTGGTCCCATCTCGTGGCTGTCAGAGGGGAAGGTCTGCCACGCTTTTAGAAGGAAAAGACGTGCTAGGAAGCCAGGGCCTGCGTCCTTCAAGTCCTCGGCATCCGGCGTCCCTTGCTGTAACTGCACAAAGTGCTCACCATCTGCCCGCAGATGGAGCCAGCCCTGCAAAAGCAGAGTTGAGTTTCCGAAACCATGTCCCAGTGGTTATTGGAAAACTCCTTGCCATTTGAAACTGCCATCTCCTTCTTGACCCTAAAATTTAATGCCATGCCGTTGACATCAAGTGATGATGTCAGGCTTTTGGGTGTTGACGCCCACTGGCCACCTGGCTTTGGAGCTTCTCCCAGCTGAATGTCGTTGCCTCAGCAGAAGATGGTGTGGGAATCTTTCAGTCGACCGGATTTCAGCAAACTTGTTTTTCATGTTGAAATACTCCATTTAGCAATCAAGCCGAAAATGAAATACTTTGAGTAAAATTTAACATTTTGCGTTTTGACGTTTGCAAGCCAGTGGGTCTCATAGTACCCTTCCTCTCTCCTTTGTTTTCAGCAATGGAAGAGTTAATAGTTGAACTTCGTCTCTTTCTTGAGCTTCTGGACCATGAATATCTGACATCAACCGTCAGAGAGAAAAAGGCAGTGATCACAGACATCCTGCTGAGGATACAGCCCGCTAAAGGTGCGTCTCATTCAAACTCCAGTCTTTCCTCTTCCAGCCTCTTTTGCCTTCGAACCATCTTGACTTCCGGCATCTTTCTGAAACATCCATTTTTTCATTAACTTATGAAGTTATTTATTCATTAAGCTGTCATCGAAGGTCTTACTGTGTGCCAGGTACTGTGTTAGTCTCCAGGTATAGAAAGATTAAGTCTTTAAGGAGCTAATGGAATAATGGGTGTGTTGAGGGGCCCCCAAGAGCACCCCGACATTCTGAGATTTACTAGGAGCACTCAGCGTATAGCTGTACTTTCTCACACCCAGGACTTATTACCGAGGCAGCGGGGGAGAGACACAGGCAGAGCCCGGAGGGTCTGCACACACTCTTCCTGTCGTCTCTCTCCTTGGAGGGTCACACAGAGCACACTCTCCTCAGCAACAGAAATGCAGCACCCTGGGAAGCTCAGTTAGAGACTCAGTGCCCGAGGGTTTTTCACTGGGGGCTGTTCACGTGCTCCCCCTCTGCCTGGCAGTACTGACAGAGACAGAGACAGAGACAGAGAGAGAGGAGAGAGAGACAGAGAGAGAGATATTCCTGTGAGTGGCTAGAGGCTGAGCAGCCCCCGAAGCGGCCTGAGCGGAGTCCAGAAACTCGAGCACCGGGAGGCCAGCGGCTGGGAGCGGGAGAAGATGGGCCCTCGCAGAGAGAGCCTGTTCGCCCTGCCTCCCTTTCTGTTCTGTCTAGGCCCTTGGGGGTGCGGCGATGCCCCCTACCCCTGCCCTGGGCAGGGCCAGCCCCTTCACTCAGTCCCCAGTCAGACGCTGGTCTGGTTCCTAGCACCCTCGCAGAGACACCTGGGAAGAACGTTCTGCCAGCTGCTGGGCATCCCTCCACCTGGCCGCGTTGACACGCAACGAACCATCACAGCAGGTGTCTGTCCTAAGCCACGTCGTTTGCACAAACGATTAGGCACAGTAAACCAACTTTATCCATTAGGGGTGATGAAAACACTTCTGAAACCCGCGTTTCCAGACTCCAGCCAGCTTACAAGGGTCAGCTTACAAGGAGTCCCTCGTAAAGCCAGCGGCCTCGGGCCTGATGCCCTAACGCTTTAGCCTGCAGTGGGGGGGAAGGGGGGGAGACGCCGGTGGCGACAGCCTGGTAAGTGCTGTCCTAGGGAGCACGAGGGTAAGGGGCGCCCCGAGGGGAGTCCAAGCCAGTCCAGTGAGAGCGGGAGCAGGGCCGGGCGACTCCTGGAGGATGCCACGCGAGACGCCGGGGGCTGCGGGGAGAGAGCTGGGCGGGACGGAGGGATTTCCTCGAACAGCTTTTTTGAGAGATAATTCACATACGATACACGGCACGCATTTGAAGTTCATTCGATGTGCAGTTCCTTGGTTTTTAGTGTAGGAAGCCATGGTGTGACACAATTAGATTCGTCACTTGTCAACGTGGACCGTGGGTTGAAGGATTCGGTAGCGGATCGAAGGCGAGCCGCGGGAGGCCCGGGGTGGAGAGGGGACCAGAAGCTCAGACCCGAGCACAGGACGGGGACCGTGTTTAGGGGCGAATGTGAAGCGTTCGCGTGTGAAACGATGCCACTGCCCCCCGCCCGGCCCCTCGCAAGCTGCCGCTGTGCACGGGAGAGGCCAGGCCGCCGCACCGACGAGGCTCTGACACGGTCACGTGTGCCTTCTCCACAAACCGGCTCCGGTTCCTGGCTCTGCCCGTCACCAAGGAGGTGGCCTTGCCCGAGTGACTTTGTCTCTTTATGCTTCAGCTCCTCATCTGTGCAAAGGGCAGGTAGTAGCATCTGCCTCAGAGATGCCGTGAGGATCAAACGGGACAGTATGAGGTGTCGCCAAGCAGTGCGTGGCGCACCGGAGACGCTCAGTAACTGCTGCTCTCTCCTGTGCCTCGCTGCTACAGGCGGCATCTCTCCTCGGCTTCAGCTCAGCGCGCACCCTCGCAGCCGCTCCCAGCCTCGCGGTCTGGGCACCCGCAGCGTGTGGGCCCTCGCCCCAGGGGCCACTGTTTTTCCCCGATTTTGCCTCCTCTCTTCTCTGCCCAGTGAGTTCCAGCCCCTCATCTCTCCGTGCTTCGTCCTGGACGAACCTTCTGATATTTCCCATTCTCTGATTTTCTCTTCAGCTCTTTCATTTGCTTAAAACTCACCCACCGATTGCGTTAGCGGTGGAGTTTCCATCTGTTCTTTCTCCTTCTTTCTTTCCTTTTTCACTGTTTCGAGTTCTCCACCCAAATTCCGGTCTGCGTTGTCACCCGAGGAGGCCAGGGACTTTATCTTTTAATATCGCTCTCCTAGCCTGTAGCATCGTGCTTCACCCATTATAGGTGATTATCGTCAAGTGATTGTTCTTCTAGGCCTTTCCAGGTGAGCTCTTGGCACGTAAATAACACTGTGCCCAAATTGAAAGTAGTTTCTTCCTCTCTCCTGCCTGCAGTGGCATAGCGCTCACCACGTTTTCTGAGACAGTGCGGATACTGTCCGTATTGTCCCCCCGTCCCCCCAGCTGGAATAGGAGCGCCCGAGGGTCTGAGCTTGAATCAGTCACGGCACACTCTGCCTTTAAGAGGGTACTTAGAGCAAACGTCCTGATCCCCAGGACAGCGTCGCCCCCTTAGTACACGGGTTCGCGCTCACCTGACTCTGCGAGGCCCTCTGGTATCGGGAAGAACCAGCTCCATCCCTCCTACCTGTTAACCTTTCAGATAAGTTCCTTAACCCTTTTCTTCAGCCGCAGAGTCTTCCCCTGTAAAACGGAGAATAGTACCTTGCAGGAGCAGCGGAAGGATGAGCGGAAGTAAATATCTGCGGAGCGTGGGCTGCAGCCGGAGGAAGCGGCCACCGGGAGCGGCGCCGTCTTCCCCGTCTCATCCCCTCTGTGGTGTGATTGGTACCTACAGGTCTGGAGGTGAAAGACCATGCTCCGAAGCAAGAGCCGCCCAGCAGCCTGCCGGCCCCTCCCCAGATGCCCCTGCCGGAGATCCCGCAGCCGTGGCTGGTGAGTGAGCCCCGCGTCCGCAGCAAGAACCCAGGCCGCCCGACTCCCGCCTGGCTCCAGGGCAGGTGCCAGCCCGACAGCCCAACTCAGAAGGAAGGGGGTGGGGCCTCCGCTGGGTGCGGCAGGGCTGCCGGCAGAGGCCGAGTGGGAGGCCGACGGTGCAGCCTCCCTCAGGAGGCTGCCGTCGCTTCGATAATTACTGGAAATCTGTTCTCAGGTTAGAAGAAAGATCACAGGGTGTAACAGGCACAGCAGTGACAGCACAGCCTGGGACCTGACCCTCTCTCCGGGGTAAAACCGCATTTGAATACCTTAGTCTAAAACTTTGATATTCACCGTTATGCTTCTTTGGGGATAAACAAACAATTTTTTTTCATAAGAAAAATATGAATACATTCTAGGGATGTGTATTTTGTTTGATCTAATACGTTAAAAATTTCTCTTGGAGTTCTTTTACCACTTTTGGAGCCGGGATATACAGACGCAGTTTCTTACGTGCCCATCCGGCGTTTTCTGCCCTTCGCTGTTTGCTCGTCTGCTTACTGGGGAACGAGACTTTCATTCAGAACTAGAGCACGGCCCGTTTACTCGGTAATCCTCTTTCTGACGCTCGCTTCCTCTGGGAATCATCTAATTGTCTCCCCACCAGGGTGAGAGCTGCAGGAAGCCAGGGCTGTGTGTCGTTTATTTTGTCCTGCCTGGGCCCAGGCCGAGGGCCAGTGTCCAGTAGGTGCTCAGTGATCCCATTTTAGAGGAGGACAGAGGAAATTAGCACTGACTGGGCTCCTGCCATGTCACAGATCATGCTTGTCACTTTCACCTGTAATTTCATTTAATCCTGACAGCTCGACCTCAAAGAACCCCTAATTCAACTCTAAACACGTGAATAGCACGTATACCCATTTTCCAGGAAATTGAGGTTTAGTGAGGATAATGTGATTTGTTCAAGGTCCTATACTAAGTAGGAAAGGCAAAAATTGTAAGCTATTCTTTCGATTTCAAATCCAGCCTGTTCTCACAGCATCGACTGGGAGGCGTGGTGGCAGGGCTGAGGCAGGCAGGGCTCGTGGGCGCGTGCCACGGTGTGTCAGGGACGCGAGCCTGTCCTGGAGCCCCAGCCCAGGGAGGCAGCGGAGTGAGGGTGCGGAGCGGGGAGCACAGTCGCCCACTTCCAGGGTCAGCTCTGTCACTTACTGTTATGATTTAGACTGCTGAGCACTTGCAGTGGGCTGGTTCACGGTGGGCTGTGCTGTCAAATACATGCCGGACTTGGAGGCTTCGAGAAAAGGACGTAGAATATCTCCTTAATTTTTACATCGATCACATGTTGAATTTTAATATTTTTGGAAGTGCCGAGAGAAGATATATTAAGGAAATCAATTTCGTAAATCTCTATGTCTTGCAGGAAAATTTTGAATTCCGTGTGTGGCTCACATTTGTAGCTTACATTTGTTTTCTGTTCTACGTATTTAATCTTTCTGCAGTTGAGAGTATATTGAATATATGATTTTTATGTGCTGTTTTTCCTTTTTTACCATTATATTTATGTATTTTTTCTTCTTTATAAACTTTTAATTACTGTGTTTTCGAAACTCCCGTCCCGTTCGTAGTAGAAGTGGTGACTTGATTAGCTCTTTTCCTCATTGTGTCACTTGCCGTTAGATAGAGTGCAAAATTATAGGCCAGCAGGTGTCAATGACATGAATTTTATTAACTGATATTTAACTCAAAGATAAAGAACAAGACGGGAAGTCAGTAGTTCACGAGTTTCCTGGTTTTTATTTTCTGGTTTATTTTTATTTTTCTTTCTAAGCTTGTCCGAGCCTGAGGCTGTCCTGTGATATGCCCTGATTTGCTTGGTCTAGTGTGTCATCGTCGCATTTCAGATCAGGAAAGGCGTTTCGAGATTGGAGGTGAAATGCGAACATCTAGAAGCAGCCAGAAGGTTGTGGTGGTTCTAGGACTTTCTTGGGCTCTAATTTAGTGCTATCTAAAGTGCCATCTAAGTGGTCTGGCCTCAGTACATGTCCCAGATGTGCCAGGCCAGACCGAGTGAAGATCAGGTTCATTGCCTGTTTCAGGCAGAGAACGCTCATGCGATGCTCAGCGTCGTCCGCCATTTAGGGCTTTTCCCTCAGGTGCGGTTGAGTATTCATTCTCCTCACCCTCCTTCCTCTCGCTCCTCTCCTCGTCTCTCACCCTCCCTGGCATATGCTCTGCCCGCCTCTCGATAGAATTGGAACTGGTGGTTGGTTATTCAGAAAAGGTGGTTAGTGTGAGGAAGTCTAAAAAGGTCTCCCTATGCTTTGAGTATTTGAGGTTTAAACAAATACCTTTGAGTGAGGTTTGACCAATGGGCGATTTCTCCCCGCTGGGGCCTGGTACTTGGGTGTTGGGTGTGTTTTCCCTCGGCCTCCAGGCCATGCCGTCACCTGCCGCAGGATTCTGGTGTAGGCCCCAGGCTACGTTCTCTGAGTGTGGGGCCGTGTGGGAAGGAAGGACGCCTGTCAGCTCAGCCCCTCAGCTGAGTGGGGATTGGTTAAGATAGCTCGACTGTTTGCCAATAGTTTTTCAGTGAATTCGTTATTCAGCGAGTAAGCCGGTCATTTAGCAAATTAAGTCTGCCTTCGGTGAACTGGCCTTTGGCCAGTTGGCTATTTGCTGTTGGCACATCGACTTTCAGGAGCGTTAGTGCATGGTGGAGTAGAGATGGAGTGGGTAGGAAGCTGTGCCGGCCAGAGGGTGTGCCCTAAATTAAGACACAAGCCAGGGCAAGAGCCAGATGGGCGGGGAGCCTTGCAGGCACGTCTGTGTTGGTGGACAGTATGATTTGGGCGGGACACTGCAGGGATTAGGTCACCAAGGGCCTGTGGCCACGCAGAGCAGTTTGGATGATCACCAAAGCAACTGTAAGTGATGGAAGATGATTTTCAGTGTAAGATTTGTGATTCTCTACCCGTTTATTCTTTCTCACTCATTTGCAATGCCATCGCATGTTTACGTCTGTTACGGCACGTCCTGAGTGGATACTGCCGTTTTTCATCAGATTGTGTTCTAAACTCTAAGAAGGGAGTTAACTCTTACCCTTTCATCCCTTGAGTGCGTAGCAGTGTTCTGGGCAGTTCTCATTAGCCGTCTCTTGATGTTCTTTTCCCCCGGCGACCTCTGAAACTTACTCATCTTGCGTAGCTGAAATTTTTGACCAGCGAACAGCAACGCCCAATGTGGACCTTCTTCTCACCGAGCTATAAACTTTCCCCTTTCGAAGGTGGCGTTTGCTTCTGTGCTTTGTGTGGCCCACGTTGCACAGGCGGAAGTGTGGGTGGCGGCCCAAGCTCGGGGAGCAGACGTCAGTCGGCCTCGTCGCGCTGGTGTCGCCTCAGCCACCAGGGAATGTTGGAGTGTGGTTTCGCCCTCGGAGTACATGTGGCGGTAGCCTGGGGCATTCCGTGGGAGCCCGTGGTCCCTTCATTGTGGCCGAGAGGCCTTTGGAGGGGCTCGAAAGAGTGGCTGCATGTGCCACTGGGGAGTGGACCCCATCCATGTTGACCCCGGCCGCCAGGGCCACCGCACGGCTCCTGGGTCTGGTCTAGCCAGCCTCCTGCCCCTTCAGCAAAGCTCTGAGCCTACAAACAGGCGGCTCTTATTTTGTCAAGAAGACGACTCTAAATTCTTGATGTTAGGACTGAAACCGTTTTTGCAGCTTAGACTATACAGTTTCGTTATCAACTGAACGTTACTTCATCCGGTCCTCAGTTTCCCTCACGACCTGGATGCCTCCCTAAGGGGCACGCCATGCCGTGGAAGTCGAGATTACAGCATGCGCGTTGTAGGGTGCTTCTGAGAGGTTCCTGTCCGTTAGAGAAGGGTTTTGCTAGTATGTGTCAGAACCAGACCCTGAACCCTAATCTTATGTCAGATTTTATCATTTTTGACTGTTACTCTTAACAGATTTGAATCCCTGTGACCAGAAAGACGGAATCTGGATGCGCCACCACGTACATAGAATTAAAGCCAGAGAGAGATTCCAAGTTCTCGGCTGGTCTTTCCTCTGCTGAAATCAGGTCTCAGTCTATTAGTGTTACTGGTGCAAAGCACTGAGTAATAAATCGGGGTGGCATCGGGGAGGCAGCAGGGGGTGGTGGCAGAGGGCAGCGGAGGCAAAGTGAGAGTCGGGGGGAGGCAGGTGTGGGAGGCGCTGGCGTGACGTAGACGGTGCGGGAGCGCGAGCTGTGCTTGGGAAATGCTGGCTCCGTGTTACCACGTGATGCAGAAGCTGTGGGTGTGGACCCGCTGCCCTCAGAGGGCCGGTTCGGTTTCGGTCCCTCCCCGACTCCTGTTGCACTCGGCCCCCCACAATAGTAGGTGCCCAGAGATATGGTCATGATGCAGACATATCATCCCTGCCGTTTCGAAGCTTCCAGTGCAGTGGTCAGTGCCAACCCCGGCTGACTATGGCTTCTTGCCTAATCTCCGGGCGCGTGTGACACTGGGCAAGGTCTGTCATCTCTCGAGCTTCAGTCTCATTCATGAAATCATAACAAGAATACCAAGGTCTCCGTTGTTTTCTGAACAAGAGAAAATATATACAGAGTATCCCAGAACGGTGGCTGTCGCATGGCAGGCAAACAGTAGATGGTGGTGGTTGTTGTCATATTATTGAAATAATAGTAATAATAGTGTTTATATTTAGATCATACAATTACATAAACATAGTATTTATTGTTATTAATGGAAAAAGAATGCTCTGTGAGGCTTTTCCTTAAAGTAGCAAAGGCAAAGACTGATGGGCTTTTCTTTCCAAAAAGCTGGGAATTACTTTAAGGCCAGTATTGTGAGCCAAGCAGGCCCGTAGATTGGGTACGTTCCTGTCCAGTTGTGAGCGCTGGTTCGCTCCGATAACACACGGACACCTTACAGGAGAAGCGTGCAGTGCCTGAAGGCAGGTGAGGTTTGCTCAGCTAAAACGTAGCTTTCACTTAAGCATTAATCTGAGGGAGAAACATTTTGGTGGACTTAAAAGTGACCTAGTGACTGGCACCATGCCACTTCTGTCTTTTATGTCGAGAGCCAAGGTCAGTTATTCTTTGGGGAAAACAGCTCATCTCCCTTTTTAAGCGTCGAAGGCGGCCGTGCCGGTTCGACTTCGGTCCCTTACTTCATCAGCGTGTGTTTCGCGAGAGCCAGTCCAGGCAGACGCTGGTGATGATAAGGTACAAGACGGGGTTGCAGCTTCGTGTACAGACCGGGTCTCTTCCAACCTTGAGCGAAAGTCGCAAAACCCAGCGAGGGTAAAGCCGCTGTCAGCATGTGGTAATGGTGTTTAAAGGTACACTCGAGTACCTGCTCTCGCCGGAGATGGCCATGTCATCGATCAGCGAGGCCAGAGTCAGCTCTCGCTGAATCATAACAGGTGAAGTTGGCTTTGGAAGAGTGCTAGAAGAGGGATCAGAGAGCCAGGGCGGTCATCAGGGCTGGTCCCCTTGGGGACCGGCCTCCGAGTTACGGGAGGGTCGCGTAGACCCAGGACGAGCTGGACCCGTGCGGAAGGCACGCCCCGTGTTTGAGCGCTGTCCTCTGGCCCTCCACGATCCCTGCTGGAAACCCGCCTTCCCTCCCCTGTACCTTAAAAAATTCCTGTGAAGTGCGATTTCAGGGACGCCTCACCTACCGGAAAGGATCCGAAGGAGGATTTGGAGCTGAAGGCAGCGTGCAGCAGGCAGTTTTCTCCGTCCAGCCTCTCCCCTTCACGCCGTGGCACCGCCGCCTGAGCCTGCGAGAGCCCGGGGCGGGCCCGGGGACAGCGGTGTTTGGGGGTGGAGTGCCGGTGCCTTTTGAGAGAGAGAGAGGGTGCTTCTCTAGAGGTATTATTTTTTGAGAGGTATTACCTCAAAGCAAAAATAGTTCAACTTTTTTGATTTTGAAAATGATAAATACAGTATCTAGCGGAGATTTTTCAAGTAAATTGTAGATAGGCACGATCCTTTGAAATGTCCGCACAGGGACAGGCCGGAATATCGAAGCAGCTTCTCTGGGTGAGGAGTCAGGTGTTTTTAGATTTTGTTGAACAGACTTGGGTTGAACATCATACAGTCCTGCTCACATGACCAGTAGACCTTCTTGGCGTGTATTTCTAGAAGTGCAGTCCTTGGCTCTCAGGGCATACCCGTTGACAGGTCTTGCCAAATGCTCGACCCTGGTAGGGTTTGAAAATCTCGGCTGAGAAATACCACGGCCCGGGACGGGAAGCAGCTCACCTAACACGTCCGCGTCACTCGCAGCCCTGGGAAGGGCGGCTGACTCCTTCCCGCGTTCCACTCGGCGACCTGGAACGCTTTCCCGGGATGTGAGTCATCCGAGTGTCTCAGCGTGCCGAGTGGAAGTTGGAACACCCTTTGTTTCGTGAGCGAAGACACCCAGTGAATCAAACGGCTCCTTTCCAAAAGCGATAAGCAGAGATTTTAACCCCTGTCCAGACTTTGCCCAGGGCCGAGCACCGTGAATCCGGGTCCATTTTAAGCGCTGCCTCTTCAGGAAGGTGCAAAGGACCTGGTCCCGGTCCCGTGAGGCCACAGGATGATGGCAGCCCGGGAAGCCAGCCGTGGGGGGCAGTGCAGAGGAAGAGAGTTGTTAGGACCCCGGACTGTGGCGGGGGGGAGCGACTGCCTTCCTGTAGGAAGGGGTGTCTGCAGGTGACCTTGAGTGAATCATCTTCCTTGACCTGGCGAGAGGAGGGGCGGGCCGAACGCAGTGGGTGATTAGTCCTTCCCTAGGGACTTGTGGGAGTCGGAGTTAAGTTACATAGAAAGTGCTGGGATTTACATCCAGAGCTTATGTGGATCGAACCCCCAGGGCTTCTCGGGAACAGTGTTCTGCCGGGGGCCGAGCTTGGCAGATCTTCAGTTCAAGGCCTCTGTTTTGTCCTCAGTGACATCTTCCCAGTTTGTTCGCGGGACGCAGGTGGTGCAAACGAGTCACACAAGGCAGGGAGAGTGAGCGCGAACACCGGCAAGGCCTTTGGCGGGCGGACCAGGGCTGGAAACTCCAGCTCCGTCACGGAGCAGCGTCTGGTTTCGAGCAGGCTGAGACTCTGGGTACCTTCTGTGTCCACCTTGAAGGATTCCTGACTGATGCGACCTGTGACCAGGACAGAGGCGCCAGGCTGAGCTGGTGCTTGGCTGGTGTGGGCTCTCTGTCCCTTCGACCCTTGCCGCCGGCGTCAGAACCAGCAAACTGACGGCGCTGGCAGGGAGGGAGGCCGCTGGGCACGAGTCTTCGGGAGCGTTGGAGAGAAGAAAGGGCTACAGCTGGGTCCCGGAGGCCGGCGGACTGGGGAGTCCCGAGTTGCCCCGGCCGGACTGGGGGAGTCCCCAGCCACCAGCCCTTCTGTGTCCTGAAGTTCGCCTCGAACCCCGAGGGCCTTCGCCTCAGTTTGACAGGAAACTCACATGACTGGTTTTAGTAACGAGCAGGTTCCGTCCACGGAGGAGACGTCCAGTTTCTCTTGAGAGTGTCTCCTAGGTGATGTCCTTTTTTTTCCGGGCATGTATGGGAGCCTGGGGGAGATGCCGGGCACGCCGCCGCCCACCAGGGGTTGCTCTGTGACCGAGCTGTCCCTGTGCTCTTGGGGCACCCAGCACCGCCATGCGGGCCACCGAGAAGAAAAGCGGCTTTGGGGACCTTGGCGGGTCAGCGGTGTGGGGGGAGCCATGGGGACAGAGGGGAGAGGTGCATGCTCGCTCTGGGGGGTGCCCCTTAGCCCGATCCACGTCGAAAGGGAACATTGGCACCCAGAAGCAGGGCACCCCCGGGAGCCGGGCTGCAGGTCCGACGGCTGCCAGCGGCGGGTACGGCCTGGGGTGCGTGGCCAGGGCCGGGCTGGGGCTGCACGCGAGCCGTCAGCAGCTGAACTCCGCGACCTTTGCGGGCGAAGGGCTTTTATGCCAGAGACTTCACAGAGGAGAGAGGGAAGTGCGGGTCCGCGCCTGCTCGAAGAGTCGGCGTTCTTCGTTCCTCCTGTCACGCTGTCCCTCCCTCTTCTCCGTAGCCACCTGACAGCGGGCCACCCCCGCTGCCGACATCCTCGCTCCCGGAAGGCTACTACGAGGAGGCCGTGCCGCTGAGTCCCGGGAAAGCCCCGGAGTACATCACCGCAAGTGAGTGTGGGTCGCCGGCCGCTGGGCTCCTGGGTTGGGGGCGGGGGCGGAGTCTGGCCCCTTTTCCGGGCGGGAGGGAGATCGGGCTTTCCAGAACATGGTGGAAATGTGGGGCAAAGTCAGTTTTGACCCAAAGGGGTAAATCCAGACAACGCTTGCAAAAGTCTGAAGTGCCTTGTAAGCATCTTCGGTCATCGGATCGTCATTTTTTTGTGACTCAGAATTAGTGAATCTTCTTGCTGTGGAAACGTGTGTGGAAATGAAACGTTCCTTTTGGTCAGAGGGAAGTGACTTTGTGGCAGCATGTGCTGATGGGTATGTGCCCCTCCCTCAGGCGGCGGGTCCCTCCTAGGCCGCCTTCACTGTGCCACCGTGAGACTGGCGTCTGCCGGGCTGCAGATGAGCAGGTACAAACAGACAGGCATCTCAGCCAGAGGCTTCGGTGTCTGTTATTCACACAGGTTTTCCCAGAAGACCGTGGTCCCGAGGTGACTAGTGCTCTCAGAAGCACTTCTTTGTTAGTGCCCGGCTTTTAAATTCAGGACGAGAACGACACGCCGACACCGGAAGCCTTTTCTTGGACCGTTGGTTTAGTTCCCCTGTCGGTGTTCTGTCGGGCAGGGTGCTACCGTCTCGTGGTGAGCGGGCCATCTGAGGGCGTGGCCACTGAGGGCGGGAGTCCAGCCAGCCGCCCCTGTGACAGAGGAGGTGGACGGGAAAGGCGCGTGCCCGCCGTGGCCCCGAGGCTGCCGGCTCAGTGACACCCGCACGTGCTCTCCTGTCTCCTGTGGAAACGCCCTCCTCCTGCGCAGGGCCGCCCCCGTGTCCCCGGATCTGTGCTGCACGGGACCGCGAGTGGTCTGCTCTCTCTGCCCTGGCAGTGCACAGGCGGGGCCGTTTCAGCCAAGCAGGCTCCATCTCGGGGGGCGCGGGGAAACCCCGCGCCCAGCGTGTGTCCTGAGTGCGCAGAGGGAGGCACCGAGCCCCGGCGGCTGGGCCGGGTGCCCCGGGAAGGCAGGGGCCTTTGCCAGCCCACTCGGGCCCGTTTGCTCGGGCTCCGGAACTGTCCCGACACAGACCGAGGCCAAGTCGATACGTATCTGTCATCCTCTGAATGAAGAAAGGGACAGATCTGTAAGGTTAGGAAGTACCGGGTTTGAGATCTAGAAGTTCAATATTTTAATTTCTCTCTCCAAGAACTGTTTGGGAAAAACACAGTCAGGTAATTTCTAAGTGTTCACTATTTCAGAAGATATATTAATTAAAAAACACAAACTAAATGGCTTGATGTGATTCAAAACTCCGTCGAATTCCTTTCTTTCTACTAGCAAAGAGCAAGAACTTCTTTCTGACGCGCTGCCTCCCAGTGACGGAGCCGCCGGAGCCGCCGGAGCCTCGTCCCCTCCCGCCCTCCTCCCCGGCCCCGGCAGACTTGCAGGGTGAGGCAGGGATGGTAGTTTTGACTAACTGTTGGGGCCTTCAGTAATTTCCAGCCTGAGAAGCCCCATACGGGTGACGTGTCCTGTCCTGATTCTTCCTCAGTTGCTCAGTTGCTGACTGGAGGCAACTTTTGTTGAGCTAATTCCAGAAGAAAGAGTAATAGGTTGTCTCACACTGGGGAGCAGCTGGTCAGCGCCCTGCGGCTTCTTTGATCAGATGGCTGTGGTTCACTGCCCTGCCC